TATTGTGATCATTGCACTCTTCCCGGCTGAGGAAGATCGGTGCCGGCCATTGAACGGCTGCTCACAGCAACTCACGCTGGCTGCCTGCCACTCACCGTAGCTCACGGCAGACCCCTGCAGTCCCAATGCAGCCTACACCATCACCAGCCACTCATGGCAGCCCAGCTCCAGGTCGAGCTGTTGTTCACCATCTTAATTGTAGAGGGTGCTGCATCACTGGCCCATGTGGGATCCGAACCAGTGGCCCTCATGCTCAGAGCTCGTGTTCCCAAGCTAACTCTTAACCAACGAGCCACTCAGCCAGCCCCGTATGAGTTTTTCATTATATGATTACTCGTATATCACTGAATAATTCTGAAGACTTACTTGCTGCTGAAGATATTCGCAGAAAGCTCTGAGGGTGTGAGGCAATGCCTGGGGTCTCCCACACAGGCCAAGGAGGCTGTTTGAGAACAGTCCCTCAGGTGGACTGAGAAGGGCTTGACTCACACTGTTCCCCTCCTCCCTGAAAGCCCCTGGCCTTCTCCACCTAGCAGATGCCTTTTCATTCTCAAGAGGACAGCTCAATGTCACCGCCTTCCCTGGGGAGAGAGACGGTGCCTGTCTGAACTCCCACCCGCCACTCACACATCCACTATAGCACTTTTACAACTACATCCTAGTCACTTGTTTACTCATGAACTCTTTGAAGGCAAAAGCTCTCTTATGTACAGTGCAAGGCCTAACTTGGAGCAGGTGTTTGACATATCTTCATTAAGTTACGTTTGCAACCTTGGTGCCTGTCTGGTTTAGCACTGGACACACAGCTGTTCACTTAGTTACTGACTAGACCCCTCTCTTTATCCAATCTTGGGGCAATGACTGACTGTAGAAATCTTCTCCCCAGGGGAGAGCCCAACTGGAGGTAAAGGACCACTATATGGCCTAGACCACGGGTCGGCAAACTGCGGCTCGTGAGCCACATGTGGCTCTTTGGGTAAGTTCCGTCTCAAAAGTTTCCCGACCCCTGGAAGAGCCTATTCTGTCCCTCACAACAATTTAAAAATTATTCGAGAGCCATAAATATATTTTTACATAATCACTATTATGTGAATAATATCCTGTAAAAATTCTATAAATGAAACTATGATAGTTTTATTTCATTTTCAATTTTACTTCAGAGCTGCAGTTTGCTGACCCCTGGAGGCTCTTCCATCTCAAATGCTGGCCAACCCCTGGCCTAGACTTGCACTTCCCAGACTAGCATTTCTAAAGAAGTCTTAACAGAGAAGCAATGAAGTGTCCCAGGCAAGAACACATTTGAAGAAAGCACATCCTCTGCAGTGAAGAGTCACAAGGCACATGAGCAAACGACAAGCTCTGAAAAGTTCTACAGTAAAGAAACCTTATTCAGCATTTCCCCACCTGTTCTGGTTAAAGAATACTTTTATTTTTGCATACCTAGTAAATCTTGCAGGATAATAACAGCAGCAACTAACATTTACTGAGAACCTACCTATGCCAGGCACTATACTGAGGACTTTCTCATTATCCTCATTTTATAGATAAAGAAACTGAGACCCAGAAAGTTTGAAAACTTGCCCAACGTCTCAATTTTTAAAAACAAGTTACATAGGGTATGCAAATCAGAAAATTATGTCTCAGCAGAGGAGAGAATTCTTTTTGGAAATGCCATGGTTCTCAATCTAAATGCCTCATTAAATACGGATTCCACTTTAAAAAAACAAAAGACTCTAAAGAAGCCCGGATCTGAGCCTGGGCAGCCTAGCTGCAGGTAAGACTTAATCTTAACCACTGTTTTATCTAGCTCCCCAGAATACAGTCGGGTGAATGGGGTCCAAGAAATGCTGATCCAGACAGAATCGAGTTTGAAAAGCTTCAGTGCAATGCACATTTTCTTTGCCTCTAAGAAGTTACACAACACTACTTTACCATAAGTCAAGTTGAAATGATAAACCAGCATAAAATATACTCTCTGCAGGACCTGGACTCAAATCTAAATGCAAATTATTGACCAAACAAGTCCACGATACAACTCAAACTCTAGGCAGTTTATGTTTCTCTGATGCCCATTTATCGTGTTAGAATTGTGAAAGTTGACAACTTTTGGAGGTTTTTATATGGTACAATGAAGGCCAAATCATGCTTATGTTTGATTTGTCATTCAGGTTGCTAAATTCAAGCAAACTTATGACCAATAAAAGTTATAAAAATTTAGAAATAAATCCTAACATTATGTTCAACAGATTCTTGACAAGGAGGCCAGGACAACTCAAGAGAGGAAGGAAAAGTCTTTTCAACAAATGGTTCCGGGACAATGGGATTTCCACAAGAAAGGGAATGAAGTTGGACCTCTTCCTTACACCATGTGCAAAAATTAAGTCAGAATGGATCAATGACCTTAATGTAAAAGCTAAAGCTATAAAACTCTTAGAAGAAAATGTAGGAGCAAATCTTGGTGAACATGGGTTAGGCCAAGGATCCTTAGATATGACACCAAAAACACAAGTGACAGAAGAAAAAATAGATAAACTAAACTACATCAATATAAAAACTTTTGTGTTTCCAAGGACACCATCAAGAAAGTAAAACAACAATCCACAGAATAAGAAAATACATTTGCAAATCGTATATCTGATAAGGGAGTTGTTATCTAGAATATATACGGAATTCTTACAAGTTAATAAAAAAAGATAGCCCAGGTGAGAAACTTAGTGAAGGACTTGGATAAACATTTCTCCAAAAAAGATATACAATGGCTAAGCACACAAGAAGATGCTCAACAACCTTAACCATCAGAGAAATGCACATCCAAAACACAATGAGCTACCATTTCACACCCACGAGGATGCTTAGAATATAAAAGACACTAACAAGTGTTGACGAGGATGTGGAAAAACTGGAACCCTTAAATACTGCTGGTGATAATGTAAGATGGCGCAGCCACTTTGGAAAATAGTTTGGCAGTTCTCAAGCTGTTAAACATGGATTCTCCATATGACCCAGCAATTCCACTCCTGGGAATATACCTAAGAGAAGTGAAAATATACAACTACAAAAAACTTACACGTGAATGTTCACAGCAGTATTGTTCTTAGAATCTAAAAAGTAGAAACAACCCAAATTTCCATCAACTGATTAACAGATGAACAAAATGTGGCATATCCATACAATGGAATATTATTTACCAATGAAAAGGAATAATCACGATATATACAAATATCAAATGATGTTATACACCTGAAACAAACATAATGTTACATGTCAATTATACCTCAATTTTTAAAAACAAGTTACATAGGGTATGCAAATCAGAAAATTATGTCTCAGCAGAGGAGGGAATTCTGTTTGGAAATGCTGTGGTTCTCAATCTAAATGCCTCATTAAATACGGATTTCACTTTAAAAAAAATAAAAAGAATGAAGTACTCATTTGTGCTACAACATGGATAAACCCTGGAAACACTATGCTGAGTGAAAGAAGTCAGACACAGAAGACCACATATTGTCTAAAATTTATATGAAATGTCCAGAACAGGCAAATCTGCAGACATAAAATAGACAGTGGTTGCCCAGGGCTGCAGGGAGCAGGCAGAAATGGGGCATGACTGCTGATGAGTATAGAGTTTCTTCCGAGGTGATGAAAATGTTCAGAAATTGACTATGGTGACAGCTGCACAACTGTGCATATACTAAAGCCATAGGGCTGTACGCTCTAAATGGGGGTATGGTATGTGAATTATAGCTCAATAAGGCTGTTTTTAAAGAAGTTCTCAAGGGGCCAGGCAAGTGGCGTGTTGGTTAAGAGTTGGCTTGCGACGCCAGCTCTGAGCAGCTGGGCCCCGATTCGGATCCCACATGAGGTCCAGTGACGCTGCGCCCTCTACAGCTAAGATGGTGAACAACGGCTCAACCTGGAGCTGGGCTGCCAGTGAGTTGCTGGCGATGGCATAGGCTGCAGTGGGGCTGGCCGGCAGCTAGTGTGAGCTTTTGTGAGCTGCCTTGAGCCCCCATAAGCAGCCGTCCAATGGCCGGCGAGCAACTGCCTCAGTCGAGAAGAGCGCAATGATAATACCAACATGGGATAGTGAAGCAACGTCCTACACAACTAGACTGAAGAACAAAAGAACAGCAACTTGTCTGTTCCCCTTCCCCGATTCCCCAACGCTATCCCCTCCAATTCCCCAATAAAAATCTTTAAAAGGGCCGGCCGAGTGGCTCAGTTGGTTAAGAGCTTGCTCAAGAGTGTGAGCTCTGAGCAACAGCAGTTCGATGCCCAGCCGGAGCTAAGCTGCTGCTAAGCTGCCAATAGGTAGCAGGATGGCTCAGCTAAAAAATAAAAAATAAAATAAATCTTAAAAAAAATAAAAAAGTTCTCAGGGAAGCCCATCATCTGTAACTTCTAATGGATTTCAGGGGATGGTATGCGATGGTTGTGGAATAGGGGCTTCAGTCCACAGAAGCAATCATTTCACAGAACAAAACAGAAATACCTCACCCAATACTCCTCCTGCTTCCTTGCCACCCTTTCTCATTAGATCTACTATAACCTCTTCATACACCTTACTCTTTCTTTTCAGCACTTATCACACCCTGTGAGGATCTTTACTTGCATGATTCTTTGTTTAATGTCTGCTCTCTGGCTGGACTATAAGCTCCATGAGGGCAAGAACCATGTTTTGTTCATTTCTGTGTCACTGGTGCCCAGCAGTATCTTAAGGTCAGTTCTCAGATATTTGCTGAATAAATTAACTTTCAACACCCAGTGAACCATGTCAAATTAGACTTGGTATTTTCTCAAGTTACTGAATCAAACCATCTTAATAGCCTACAAGCAGAGTCTGTTTTATTCAGTTAGGTTTTTACTGGGTCCAGTGAGGCTGGAATGGGCACATCCTGTGCAGGGGGTGAGGAGAGAGACGGGAGGGAAGAGAGGGAGTGGCAGAAGCAAGAGACGGATGGCAGGAAGGTGCAGGCACTGGAGCGGGAAGACAAACTTACTTTTCTAGGTTGGCCATCTGCTTCACAGCTTCCACAGCTCCTGGTAAAGGCTCAAGGTCAAAGAAGAAATTCTCCGACTCCCATATGCTGATGGCCTTCTCCTGAGAAGAGGAGAGAAGCATGTGACTTCCAGGGTCTCAGCACCCTGCCTCTCGGATATCACAGCTGGAAAGGGCTACTGACAAGAAGAGAGTGGGGCTTCCACACTCCCCTCACCCCCCTCCCACACACCCAAGGATATTTCGGGGCAGGAGGGGATGGCATGAAGCTTGTCTGTGTTCCAGTCCCTCTCCATGAGGGATCTGACTTCTGCAAGAATCCAGCAGAAACAGCTCAGGTGTCAGGGGCTGTGGCCACTGAGGCCTGGTCTGCTGGAGGCACAGCTGGCGCCATCTGCGACCAATCTTCAGGAACCACATTTGCTTGATTCTAAAAAGCATGCTGGAGGCTGTGAAGGTGGACCAGGTCTTGCCATGGCACTAGAGTCCTTAAATTGCAGAACTGGACGAACTCAGAGATCCTTAAGAGCACTGCTGCGTTTGGGGGGGGGGGGGCACTGGGCAGGGCTCCAGGTTGTCCATGTCAACCAGAACAATTATTTTATCTGTGTTATGCGTTGGGATGCCTTTGTTTAAAAGAAAGACGTCTGCTGCTTTTGAAGGTGGAAAGCATAAAATTCAGACCTTTTTTTACATACGAGAAAACTGAAGCTCAGGAGGGAAGGGATTCACCTAATGCTACACAGTAAAACAGTGGGCAAACGGAGAGACTCCCATCTCTCAACTCCCAGGCCAGGAGTTTCCACCTCCTGTTGCTGAGGCAACACCAAGTGTGCAGAATGCCACACCCTCCAGGGCCAGGACAAGGGGAAAGTGACAGTGGGAGGAGAGACACCCCAGCCTCTGAGCAGCAGTACTATGTGGAAAGTGCCTCCGCCAGGTCAGAAGCCACACACTCCAGAACAAGGGCCACCAACACACATGAACGGGCGCAGCACACTGAGATCACACTGGCAATACTCTGTGAACTATTTGGGGTTAGCAAATAGTGCTTATTGCTAACATATACTCTCTCTTTGACACATCCCACATGGGGTAAAAATGGCTATCCCCGATTTATAGATGAGGAAACTGAGGCTCACAGATTTTTTTCAAGGCGACGTACAAGCGATATTGTCAGAACTTAAACTTGGCACTTCTAACTCACACGGAGGCAGTGGAGAGTGGCAGAAAACATGCTCAATGGGGGCGTCCCAAGTCCTAGCTCTTGCTGTGACCCTGGGCTAACCATCTCAGCTCAGCGATTAGTGTCCCAGCATCCTTTCCCTCCCTCCTTCACTAACTTGCTCTGAATCCCTGGTCAAGGCACTTCCTCTCTCTGGGCTCAGTTCCTCAGCTGTCCTAACAGTGTGAGATTCTAAGTCAGTTCAAATGAACTCTACCTTCCACCTCTGCCATGCTTACCTCTCAGGGCACTGTGAAGATCAGAGGGAATACGGATAGAGCGGTATTTTTTATTTTTTTAAAGATTTTTATTGGGGACTTGGGGAGGGGGATAGGAACAGCGCTGGGGAATTGGGGGAAGGGGAACAGACAAGTTGTTGTTTTGTTCTTCAGTCTAGTTGTGGAGGATGTTGCTTCACTGGCCCAAGTTGGCAACATCATTGCGCTCTTCCTGGGTGAGGCAGATCAGTCGCCGGCTTCTGGACGGCCGCTCACTGTGGCTGCTGGCCGCTCACGCTGGC